CTTACTATACTTGATGATGATGTGGTTGCCATGATGATGTGGTTGACAGGATGATTGACATATATATACTATATTGACATGATGATGTGGTTGCCATGCTGGTGAGAAAGCTGGCCATGACAATCGTCCGTAACCCGGAAGTTTCCTAACTAAACTTCCTTTGATTATATATATATATGTATATATATGTATATATATATATATACATATACATATACATATGGAGAAAAAACAAGTGTGGAGGAATGTACTTGAGCATCACATCTACACCGACTGAGATAAGCGCTACTTAGCAGGAAATTGCCCAGAATGGTTTCCGTGATCTGCAACAAAATGATCCTCTACATAATAGGAGATAAGTGATACGAAGCCCTTCTAGACAATACCCTTCTGGTGCTGAGTGATGGTTCAAGGACCAAGGCCCACCTCCTTTGCAGCGCCGGGGTCACAAAGAGCACCGCAATAGTCTGGCCTTGTTTGCATTCCGGCATGAGTGCAAAAACGTGCGATATCATGGATAGATTTCATGCAACATGCTTGGGTACATGGTAAGTTTTGAGTGTTCAGGATTGTTTGGCACTGTCTGGTATTTTTTGGCATTGTTTAGCATGCTGCTACGGCCAAATTCTCTGCCGAAACAGAGCAAAAAAGTTGTCCGCGCAGCACGATCGACATTCCAGACGTGTCCTGGGTACCGCGCAATGATTTTCAATATTTTTGAATATCAGTAGGCTCAGAGTCCCAGCTGTGTCATTTTTCCATATTTTTCCTGCAAATCAAAGTACGGTAAGCTCAGGGATCGTCTCCACGTGTCTGCTTACAAATAGACAGCCCGCGCATTTTGATTGCACTGCATCAACTTGCCTCACAGGTTTACTTAACAATAGCACAAACAGATGTGTGAATAATGTGTGCATGTACAATCGCTATTGATGTGGGTATGCGTCAAAACAGAAAATCCATGGATAGTACAGTAATGTACAGTACATCCATGTACATTTAATATAAAATGGGATGTTTGACCGTCTGACCACCAAAAGCAGCCGGAATCTGAGGCCCTAAGAAAATTATCGAAGGAAGTTTAGAAGTCAAACTTCTGACAATATGGATAGATGAAAAGCAGAGATGGAAAGGGTCAGAGAGAAGAGAAGAGTAGAAGAGAGAAGATCAGAGAAGAGAAAGAGTCAGAAGAAAGAAGATGCAGATGCGCTCTGTTTTTTCACTGAATTTGTGGCTCCGGAGAAAAAGTAGCTAAAAAGCGGCGGGGGCGGCCCTCTGGCCAGATGAGAGATGAAAAAGTGCACGCCGTTGTGGCGCGAAGCGCATTTCAAGTCAAAATGCACAAAGCACACCAGCTCCGGACCACTTTTGGCAGTTGCGATGTCGAAAAAGTGCACGCGAAGCACATTTCGAAGTCAAAATGTACAAAACACACCACTTTTGGAAGTTGACATGTCGAAAAAGTGCACTCCGTTGTGGCGCGAAGCACGTTTCGAAGTCAAAATGTACAAAGCACACCAGCTTCGAACCACTTTTAGAAGTTGCGATGTCGAAAAAGTGCACGCCGTTGTGGCGCGAAGCACATGTCGAAGTCAAAAGTGCAAAAAACTGACGGGCAATGTGGGGTACGGAGCATTTTTGGACGTTCAGATGTGCTTTCGCGTGGCAGGCGCAGTGGGACCTTCTCAAAAGTGACCAAAACGTGAGGGTTTTGTGGCATTTCCAAAAACGATGGCAGGCGTGGGACATTTGAAGAGGATCTGCAAAGATGCATTTCGCGTGGCAGGCGCAGTACAAAAGACATGTTCATCAGAGATGTTAGGAGGTCACGGCGCTGATTTCCTGAGAGGGGTTGCATTTTGGAGCATCAGATCTGTAGGTTTGCTAAGATGATTTTGAGTGACAGGTGCAGCACTTCGTACGACCTGGCATCAATTTTTCGTGGCAGGCGCAGTACTTTAGACAGGTGGAATGAAAAAATCGCAAAACCCATTGGTATGAGGCCGTCAGCGCTGCACTCAACTTTCGATTTTTGAAGGAAGTCTCGCAGAATTGCTGTGTTTTTGAGGTTGTCAAGTTCAAAAATTGGAGGACGTCTCGCAGAATTGCTTCGTTTTGGATATTGTCTAGTTCAAAAAATGAAGAAGTCTCGCAGAATTGCTTCGTTTTTCATGTTATCAACTTTGAAAAATGAGGAAGTCTCGCAGAATTGCTTCGTTTTTGATGTTGTTAACTTTCAAAAATGAGGAAGTCACGCAGAATTGCTGCGTTTTTGATGTTGTCAACTTTGGAAAATGAAGAAATCTCGCAACATAGCTAGGTTTTCAAGCTTGCAGATAGACAGGTAGATAGATAGATAGATAGATAGACAGATAGATAGAGAGAGAGATAGACAGATAGATAGATAGATAGATAGGTAGATAGATAGATAGATAGACAGATAGATAGATAGATAGATAGGTAGGTAGATAGCTAGATAGCTAGATAGCTAGATAGCTAG